CTCAGATGCAGGCCTGGCTGAGAGGAGGAGGACAAGACACTTCACAGAAAACAGGACAGCTGGCGTCCACGTGCTCACCAGGGGAACGCTTCCCCCCACCTGCCAGCCCTCAAGATTGAGTTCCTGGTTACACAACATTTCAAAACAAGGAGGAGCATCCTTCAGAACCACCCGTGTTCTAAAAACAGGGCCAAGTGCAGATGCATCTTGCTGAAAATACAATCTGAAGTCGCCATCAGACCCATAAGATGGAGGCCTCCTCCTACAGACCAGGATGACCCTGCCCAGGGCAACTGCAAGGAACACCTCTTCCAGGTGCAGGAAGCCACATCATCTTAAAGGGGCCTGAGTCTCAGTGAAGGCAACTCAGGACAGGAATAGGGAATGCACTCCTGCCAGGTCCCTGTGCTCCAGAGCCACCTGGCCACTCCAGGGATGTGAGTCTCTCTCAGCCCTCTGCAAGTGGCCTGATGGGACTGACTTGAACAGAAACACGGACGTGGGCAGAACAGGGCTTTCTTCCTCAGAGTCCTGGAGGACAGAAATGACTATTAATAAATATTCCGCTGCTTGCTGAGCACATGACTTCGTGTCAGTCACCCTCCTGCTTAGGCCTCAGCCTCTTCAGCTGTAAAAACAGGATAATGCCGTCTACTTCATGAGATTACAGCAAGATTAAACGGGATCATGGGTAAGTGTCAGGAATGTGCAATCCGGGACTCGAGCTTCCGCCTGCCCCCATTCCACAGTCTCAAGAAAAAAATCAAAGGGTTGACAGCAACTGTGCAAGGTTTAAACGTTTATTTCACAAGTGGGAAATAATTATATAAGCAATCCCAACAGAAATCTGAGAAAATGGTTACCATAGATAAGAAAGCATAAACTATTACAGGAGATGTGATAAAGTCCTTATGAAGGCAATGATTAAGCCTTCCCCATCCAGGATACAAAAGTCAGCAATTAATTTATCTTACAAGAAAGGGAAAGCACCATTTATTCTTTTAACATCAGATCTCTGCTCAAAAATTTGCAAATTTTTATGCACCTACAACTATTTAATTAAATTTTTTTAAGAGAGAATTTTTTTTAATATTTATTTTTTAGTTTTTCGGTGGACACAACATCTTTATTTTTATGTGGTGCTGAGGATAGAACCCAGTGCCTCATGCATGCCAGGCTAGCCACATCCCCAACAGCTTAATTAAAATTTGATTGTCAATGAGTCAATATAAATCATTTAAATTTAAATGCAGAATAATGTTGGATGGCAAAGAGGCATGTTTACTGTGCTAGGTACAAAAATGAAACTGTGATAGTTCCTGCTCTCAAGTTCACAGGGAAAAACCAATCAATTATTGACCATGGAACAGACTGAAAGAGACCTGCCCTGGGGACAGCTGGGGCAGATGAGTGTCACCCACAGAGCTCTGTTCAAGGAGCCAGAAGTACCAGGCTCACATTCCAGCTCAAGAACCTGCTTTTTGCAGTTCCTCTGTAAATACGGGGACAATGTAAATATTGTCGGTTTGTCACACACTGCTGCTAGGAAAAGCACTCATAGCCACTCCTTACCACTCTGCACCAGGTACTACGTGAGGGCAGGGACAGAAGGGACACAGCACATCCCCATCCAGGGCTCACGGTGTGGGCAGGTGCAGCTAGATGCATGATCACCCCCCGCCCCCAGCTCCTGTCCCTGTAAATAAACAATCTCTGGGTGGCGGTTTGTTTTGTCACGAATGTGTGCAATGAAATCAGTGGTGCAGGTCTGGAGAGCACAGATTTACCCGTGATGCTCAGCGAAGTGCTGAAGCCAGGCCCTGCTTCAGAACCCCGGGACCTGGCAATTCAGAAGGGCACCCAGTCAAGAATCCCTTAAAGGCTGGTCAAGCAATGTTAAAAGTACTGGAAATGCAGATGCTTCTAATGAGCTCAGGAGAAGGCAAGTACAGCCAGCACAATACAACCTGCATTTTTTTTGTGTGCCTACAAAGCCTATTAAGAATTATAAAGCCAATTAAAGCATTAGAGCAGTGCAGCCCTAAGGGAGCACACAGCCCGTGGGTGCGTGCACACGCACATCTGTCTACAAGGAAAGATGGCCAAGTCAATCAAAGTCAATCAAGGGTTATGAGCCCTACCTGAACGCTACTGCAAATGTGGCAATCAGGTGAGATGATTCATTACATAAAATTTAACACCATAAGGGTACACCAGGGCCCTGGCTTTACTGAGGCATCTGCAACCCTGGGCAGGTCATGGAACCTCTCTTACAAGTTCCTGCACCTCAGGAGAATGCATGTTTATACAGAGTGCTTCATTCAGAGAGCTTCAGAGTATGAAGTGAAAGGATTAGAAAATCAGAAGTCATCATCAAAACATTCATTACTGTTTAGGTAAAAAAAAAAAAAAACACCCTAGGTTCCTCTGATAACCTGTTATGGATTTTCACACATCTCTAGGCCTACTTAGCATTAAATTTTTATTTTTGGAAAAAGTGCACAAAGCAGTCCATGTCTACAAGGACTTGCCAACCAAATATTGTGTTACCTTAGGTACAACATTTGCCCTTTTGGGTTCTCACCCACTTCTCTTATAAAATAGGAAAAATCTCCCTGCCAGAGAGGATTTCACCGGATTCTCTCCAGGCCCCTTCCAGTTCCATGGAGTGTGGGTCACCTCAATATTAGGAACGCAGCTCTTGGGCTGGGGATGTGGCTCAAGCGGTAGCGCGCTCGCCTGGCTCGCCTGGCATGCGCGGGGCGCTGGGTTCCATCCTCAGCACCACATAAAAGTAAAATGGAGGTGCTGTGTCCACCGAAAACTGAAAAATAAATATTAAAAAATTCTTTAAAAAAAAAAAAAAAAGATACAGCTCTTTCCTGCACCTTGCAAGGTGACAACAGAGTGGAAAGGAAAACAGGTGTTTTGAAAACACCTCCTACCAAAGAGAAATATTTTAAGATAGAAATATTTTAAATAAAGTATTTTAAGATTACGGACAAAATCAAAGTAGGAATCACCCTGATAAAGTCGAGAGAGGTACTGTTTAAGAACAATCATCTTGGAGTATTTATTCCTAATAAGAAAAGGGAAGGAAGTCCATCAGGACCTGCAGCCTGCAGAAGCATGGCGATCAAGGCAAGGGGAGACTGGACACTCGGGGACATGGGGGACAAGTGCCTGCGACTTCCCAAGCCAGTCAAAGCTGTGACCTACAAGAGCCAAGCCCAAACCCAAGAGGCGGCAGATCGCGACGTTTTCCTTGGGCAGCGTCGCCGCTGTGCTCAAAGCGGCTTTGCACACACCATCCCCCTTTCCTGGGTCCCGATCGCGGAGGGGAGGGGCGGGGCGCCGACTGCGCAGGCTCGGCCGCGAGGTTCGCTTTAAAAAAACCAGAGAAAAAAAAAAAAACACAAAACCCACCCAGGTGTGGGGCGTTGCCCACGAGGCCTGGCTCGGGCATCACGGCGCGGCCTACACCTTTAAATCCCCACAAAAGAGACCGGCGCCGAGCGAGGCCCAGAGCGCGGCGCCCACCTGGGACGCCCCTCCCGCCGCCCGCCTCCGCGGACTCGGCCGCGCCACTCGGGGCCCCGCGGCTCCCACCAAGGCCGCCCGCGAGCCCCGCGGGGCGCCGGGGGCGGCGATGCCAGGGAGCGCGGTCCTCGCCCGGCCGACTAACGGCGCGCGGCGGCCGCGGGCTCCTCCCCTGACCGGCCCGGGACCCCGGGCGGCCGCGCGGTCCGAGCGGCAGGCTCCCCGGGCGCCCGCCGCCGCCGAGCCCAGGAGGAGCCGCCGGGGCCCGCAGCTCGCGGGCCGGATGGACCGGGCGCCGGCCGCGGCGTTCCGGTGCGCGCGCGCGCCTCAGCCAATCGCGTGCTCGCCCGCCCCCCGCCGCCGCGGCGAGGCTGGCGCTGGGAAGAGGAAGAAGAACATTCGCCCTCCTCCTACCAGCGCGCGGGCGGCGGCGGCGGCGGCACCGGGGTCACGAACTCTGACCTTTCACTGACAAAAACAATAACAAACCCCCCCTTCCCCGCGACCCCGGCGGCGCCCTCGGGCCCGCCCCCGCCGCCCCCGCTCCCACCGCGGCGTCTCGTCTCTCCCGCCTGCCGCCCCGCGAGCCCGCGGCCCCCCGGGCTCCCGCCGACGCCGGGAGCCGGGCCTCCCCGCGCCCTGCCCTCCGCGCCGGGGGCCGCCCGCCGCAGACACGGGACCTGCTTCGAGGCCGCTTTGGCGCCCAATCCTGAGGTAAAACTGAAAGGAGGGTCGGGGCGGGCTCGGGCCGGCGGCGGAGGGGGCGGGCCTGGCGCGCGGACATGGAGGCGCCGCGGCGGCGGCTGCTGCTGAACTCGACCCTTTTACCTTTGCCACGGGGCGGTGGCGGCGGCGGCGCCCGCCGCTTTGCATAGTGGGCCGGGCCGCTCCCCTCCCTTCCCCGCCCGCGGCCGAGCGGAGCGAGCGGGCTCCCCCTGACCGGCCCGGCCGGCGCGAGGGTGGGGGCGGAGGGGGAATGGCCGCGGCCCCGCCTCACAGTTGGCCCTCCGCCAGCGCCGCCATTTTGTTCCCGATGGAGACAGCTCCGGCTGGGCCGGGCTCCCCTCCTCCTCCCTGCAGTCCCTCCTTCCCTCGCTCCCCGGCTCTTCGCCCCTCCGCTTCCCGCCTGCAGTTGGCGGTCGCCTCGGCCCAACCGCCGTTTTTTATGAACGGGAGGGTGGAGGAACAGGAGGAAGGCGGGTGCGGGCCGCGACCTCCTGAGTGACAGCGGGGTTGACCAATGGGTGCTCCGATAGGAGGGCCGGGGCCTGCGGCGCCGCCCTCCCGAGGCTCTGATGATTGGTTCTGGAGGGAGAGGGCGTTCCCCCGGGGGGCGCGGGCGCCCTGGCGGGGCGGGAGCAGAGGCCGGGGCGCGGCGTGAGGCCCGGGCGGCGGGGGCGGGGCCAGGGGCGGGGCTCCTGGGGGCGCGGCCCGGGCGGGGCGGGGCCGGGAGTGCAGCGTCCCCGGGCCCGGAACGCGTCGCTCGCGGGTGGCGGGGAACAATAGTAGTAAAGGTGATGAAGCGTTTTGAGTCCACGGCGCGGCCTCGTGGGGACAGCGTTTCCGAACCCGGACACCTGTCGGGGCTCCTGCGCGGGCTTTGGGCCCTGCCCTGGGCGAGTCCGCTGTCCGAGGCTCAGTTTGGTGGTCGGTCCAGCGGGGAGAATGGGCGCGCTTGACCGGCCGGACCCCACCGCCCTTCCCAGGTTGGTTTGCGGGGCTCTTCTCAGAAAATAGAGCCCAGGCCTCCCCGCGGGGCTCGAGGGCTGCAGAGTGGCCGTGTTGTCCCCAGCCGCCCGGAGTGGGGCGCGTGGGGCTGGGGCGGCGAGTGCGGGGCGCCGGGCTCCGCGGGCTCGGGATAGCGGGCAGCGAAGTTCTGGGCGCCACCCGCAGGACCGCCTGTCGGGTGGGAGGACAGTTAGACGAAAACACCCCAAAGGGGACACGGAGGAGGAGCTGGAGGCCCGGGGCACTGGCTCAGCTTGCACCGTGAGGGTGCCGTGTTCCAATGGAGGCGCCCGGTGGGTCGCCAGCCACAGGAGCTGGGGGACCTCGGGGGGCCGCTGGCCAGGCCTGGCTGGAAGGTGCTTGGAGCTAGGTCGTTGTCCTGTGATCCTCCTCTACCCCAGCCAGAGACCGTGACTGTGGCCGGGTAATGCAGAACATCTGCAGTTTGACAATAAGAGACAGAGAAAGTGCGGTGAGTCCCTGCCGTGAAGGGACAGCCTCAGGAAGTCACTTTACCTCGGGTTCACATCCTTTGCCAGCCACTTCTGTCCATCCTCAGTTGGGCAGATATTTGCTGAGCCCCATTCATCCCCCAGGCAGGGAATACAGAGGTGGCTAGACGTATAACATGATCCGGTGTATGAACTGCCACCGTCTCTGACACACTCACCACGTGTAGGCACGGATGCAAAGTCGGTTTCAGGCAAAACTAAGTGTTGGGGCTGACAGTTCAACGCTTACTAGCAGTGTGGTTGTGCCTAGAGGTTAGTTTTGAGCCTCAGTATCCTCGTCTGAACGATAATAAGACATTCTGTCAGGAATTGAGGATTAAATGAGTTAATGTAAGTAGAGAGCTTAGAAAAGTGCCTGAACATAGTTAAAAACTCAGTTAAAAAGTTGGAGGTGGTTGTCATGAAGCAGTGGTTGACTTTATAGACCTTGGACTAGTTAAGTGATATCAGCAATGAAATTTATAGGTGGTGTGGTGTTGGAGCAGACGCACTGATGCTTTTGAGATTGGATGCTTTTGTTCAGCTAGGTGTGGCATCAAGTTCAAGTTTATATTGAAAACAAAGTATGGAATGAAATAGTGCTAACAAAATTAGACTACTTCCCAGGACTGTACCCTAGTTCAGAACCCCTGTAATGTAGAGGCCTTCCTCTATTCCTGTGCTCCAGACACCCTGGCTTACCCTCAGCTTCCTTGACAGCGTGGCTGACCTTCTGTCCTAGCCCCCTGACCTGCAGGGCCTTCACCATGAAATACTCAGAAGCCTGCCCCTCTGGTTCTTTCCTGGACTCCTTGTCTTGCAGATCTCTGCTTAAGCAGAAAAGCCTCCCTTACAGGGAAGTCCTCCCTGATTGCCACTACCAGTCTAGATCAGATCTTTTGCTTTATATTGTGTCCCTTTCTTTGTAGCCTCTATCTCACTTTGTCATCACACACTCCATTATGTGATTGTTTAATGTCTTCTTAGGTTTAATGCCTTCTGACCACACTCTAAGCTTTGAGAGGAGGACTACATGAAGGAGTCATCTTTATGTATCCAGCACTTAGCAAATCCCTGGCACTGTTTGTTGAGTGAATGAATTGTCGTTAATTTATGATGTCATCAATAACTAAGCTGCTGCCTGTTAATGGGTACCTTTTACCTTTTTATGTGCTATTTCAATTAGCACTCCCAGCAATAAAATGTCTCTCAGGGTATTTGGATGCATTTAAGAAGTGACTCTTGACTGATAGGCCACCACCCAGAGATGTCATTACAGATGAGATGACCCATTCAAATCCCTTTTCCCTATTTGTTGATTTATTTTTATTTTTTTAAGGTCGGAAACAGTTTGTTAATTGAATTATGTTTAATTACATGAATTATGTTTAATTACATATTGTTGCTTCTAAGTAAATTCATGTGTGAACAAATAGCCCATATATAATTGTGTCATTTAATTCATTTGAAGAAGCAAAGCACCAAGCTAATATGATTTTCTTGAAGTAAAAAAATTTCAGTCTTTTTTTCTTTATCACAGCAGGGAACAAACTTTTAGTGGTTTTATAGAGTTGGAGTTGAAAGTCTGTGTAGCTTAATTATAAATATTTATTTTTCCAAAAGTAAATTGATTTCATGCAATAAAATTATTGAAAATCGCCTTTTAATTGGCTACCCAAGGTTAAAAGCTGCAGAATGTATGTTAAGCTTCTACCAGAAAGTCTGGTAAATAGAACATTTGTATTGTATTTCCTTATTTTACATGACACATAAATTTAAAATAACATTTTTTTAAAACAAAAACAGCCATAGTTTTATTTAATAATTGGTTTATTTTTGTATGTTTCTTTTACATCCTGTTCAAGGAATTTTGATTGTCATTTGTTCAGCACTTGATTTCTTGAACTAATTACTCAGGGTAACCAAAGAACTGATGGTTTAATTAAAAATATTATATATTGTTTTATACCATTAAATTTCATTCTTTCTTTTTGTGGTTTTGGTACTGGAGATGGAACCCAGGGGACTTTACCACTGAGTCCTTTTTATTTTTTGTTTTGGGACAGGGTCTCAGTTGCTGAGGCTGGCCTTGAACTTGCATCCTCCTGCCTCAGCCTCCTGAGTCTCTGGGATTACAGGCATGTGCCAGTACACACAGCTTAAATTATGTATTTATTGCTTTCAGTAGTTGTGTTCATGATGACGTTGATGTTTTCTTTTCATGATCATGTCTTTATAGAAACAAAGAAAACCCCTACCTGCAACAGCTTCCTCTGGGAAGTTTTGCGTGTGTGTGTGTGTGTGTATGTGTATTATTGTTGTTTTTAGGACAGGGTCTCACTGTGCTGCCTGGCTGGCCTTGACCTCTTGGGCTCCAGTGATTCTCCTGCCTCAGTCTCCCAGGTAGCTGGGACTTCAGAGTGGGCCGCTGGGCACTAGCTGAAGGGTTTAGAAGCTCGTCTTCAGAGTGTCGAGTGACAGTGTGGTCCAGGGCAAAGAGCTTGGACTGTGGAGGCCAGGAAGACCTGGTTCCAGAATCTTGGGTTGTGGCCTCTTCCAGGCGAACACATTCTCTGTTTGTAACCTGGAAGTAGGAAGTCAACCCTGAGACTGGGGATGGTGCTAGGCTGTGTGTGTTGACCAGATGACCTTGAAAACTAGGGAAGTGGCTTGTGTACAACGACCCCACTTTTAACCTTGACCTGAGCCCACTGGTCTCCTGTCTCCAGGTGCCTGAGTGTCTCCAAGTTCTGTGGAGTCGATCCCCTTTGGGAGTGTGCGCTGAGGCCCCTGCCTGAGTACAGGAGGCTGATTTTTGGGCCCCAAGCGTCTCCTGGAGTGGGCGAGGTCTCCTCAGCAAGCACCGCATGGGGGGATCTGAAGGGTGGCTCGGGTCTGCGTGGGAAGTGCTCGTGGAGTTCACCGAGTCCTCCCTCAAGTCTGATGCAGAGTCCTCCACAAGATTTTGGCATCTCTCTGTGCTTTATTGTTGCTTGTAAGGACCTTCAACAGCGCAGGTTCCCCTCCACGTGCGCTCATCACCTTTAACCTCCTGTTCACACTCCTGTCACACCCTGAAAAATGAGGTTCCTCTATATTCATGAAGGTTTATTTGCCTCCAACCTGACTTGCCTAGAGGCTGAGATTGTTATTATGTGTCCCTTTGCATTCTGTGTCTACCCCAGGTGACAAGTATTCTCCTGTCCTCAGTACAGGTGCCTGAGTGCTGGAGTGCAGGTGGCAGCAGCAGCTCTGGGGCTGGCTGTCCCGGAACAGCGCCCGCTGATAGGGAGGACATGGGCCTAGGGGATGGAAGCCTAGATGGGGGCCTTGACATGGGGTGTTTGTTAAAATGAGGTGAAAGCACATTGAGGCCCTGGCATCTGGAAGCCTGGGAGTATAGGGGGGTGATTGGGGAGCTCCTGGGGTATGAAGGCAGCAAGTTGGTTCAGACCTCAGCTGTCCTCCTCCCAGACTCTTGGAAGCCTGTATTGATACAAGCTTCCCGCCTAATAGGAGGCCCTTTAACAGGGGGTGAAAGGTTTTATTCCATATTTACTGACAACAATCCCAAGGATTGTAACTTTAGAAATACTAATGTGTAAAACATAATTTTGTTCCAAGATTTTCAAGTGTACAAAAGGACACCATTTTCTGGAAAACAGGATAGCCGCTGGAGAGAGGAGGAGGGAGGCTGATGGGGCGAGACTCAAACTTGAGGGCTTGGTGGTTTTCGCATGAGTGCTGATGGATCTGTGCAGGAGACCTTGAGTTTCCTACTAGCAGCCCCCACACTCCCCTTAGGAACATTCAGCAGCTGCCTGTGTGGGGCCAGCAGCTCTCTGAGAAAGAGTTGAGACTGGACGGCCCTGGAACTCCAGGGGACTGCTCTTGTTGCCTTTCCCCCAGTGGCTCTCCCATTGCGTCTGCAACACCTTTTTTTTTTTTTTTTTTAAACCAGGTTGATGAGGTGAATACCTTGGAATTATTGAAAAGTCACCTTTTAATTGCTTTACCAAGCAGGTGTCAAAGTATGTCAGTCGTCAACTAAAAAGGCTGGTAATTAGAGTGTGTTTGTTGATTTACTTAGTACAGGATTTTTAAGAGATTAAAAATTTAAATTTATGATGTATGTTTCTTTTGTGAAGATGTGCAGGACAGTTTTTTAAAGTAAGAGACTTGGGGTGAAGTTTAATGGTAGAGCACGTGGGAGGCCCTGGGTTTAGTCCCCAGCACCCAAACCACAACAAAACAAAGAATGAAAATGAGGAAAAACTGTAAAGGCACAGAGGATGGCACGACATCACAAGGCATGGATGAGAATGTTCACAGGAGTGAGCATAAGAGCTCCATGCTAGAAACAATCAAAATGTCTAACAGCTGTCGATGAAAACATCGTGGCATAGTCACACGCACTGGAGTACTATATAGTAATGAAAATGGACTAACCACTGATGGTTGTCACACAAATCACCTTCAGCAAAAAA